ATATATATATATATATATATATATATATATATATAGTCCATATAAAATAATTGAATTTTAATTTCGATTTCTATATGTTTTTTATTTTTATTTTTTATCATTCTAAAAGTTGAAATTATTATTTTTTTGTCTTTATAAATTGAAAAAATTTCAGTTTTGTTTTCAATAAAATATTTTTTATTTAATTTTGATTTTTATAAAATTTAAAATAATTATTTTTTTATTGTTAATGATCATTTTCTAAATAGATAAAAAAAATTATTTCAAGGATCTATAATTTTTTTTTTTTGAAAGCACTACATGCTGATATGATATCATGGTGCCATTCAAAAAAAAAAAATATTGTTCGTTTGTTTGCACGCTTTGGACTGAATTTCACTTACAAGAATCAATTAAATGTTGATATCAAAATTGAGATAATGACTTAATATTTTAATAATTATATAAGTAGATAATAAATATCACATAATAATAAAGATTATAAGTAATAATTTTAAATTTAGACAGATAAAAAATAAAAATAAAAATTACAAAGACCAAAATTAAATGTTACTTATTTTACAAGAATATTTAAGAGGAAAAACATTTCTGTCACCCAAAATTCACAAAATGCTTATTCAAATTGCCTTAAAATGATGATGGCACCATTGTCATATAAAGGACAATTTAATAAAATGAAATCCTTTTTGTTATGCGAAGCTCTTCGTTATGATCCTTCTTTAAAGATAGAATATATCTTAGAATGCCATCATCATCTTATCTTCCACATGCCTATTCCTTTCATTTTCATTTGTTGAGGAGATTACATATAATATTATGACAATGTTTGCATAGTTTTTTCGATTAATATTTGTAAGAAAAATAAAATAAATGATTTTTTTTATAAGTTAAAATAAACTTACGCACTTCAACTTTTTGAATAAACTAAATGAGTGTTTTAAAAAAGTTAAACTACATAAATTTATTTTAACTTGTAAACAAAATTTAAAATATTTATTGAAAAAATTATTGAACCAGTATTTTATCTTCTTAATTATTTTCATCTCATACAATTATAGGTATTTATTGAAAGTTTATTTGTTGAACCGATATATATATTTTCCACAAATAATCAATTTGATAAAATACAACATGGAACAACAAATACTCATTTTTAAATTTCATAAACAACTTACTTATAGCTACTGCAGGTGGAAGGGCAAATTGAAGCAGTAAAAGAAATTGATATAGTGGATCTCCATGGATCAAGCCAAAATGAATAGCACCCTTAACAATGGCTACTCCTATAGCAGGCAAGGCAATATTTCTAACTGCAATAATGCCAAGAATATGTGAAAGTTGCACTCTTTCTCCTTTTAAACCTGATAAGCATTCAAATTACATCATCACAATGATTTTCAAATAGAACTAATTAACAAGTATTCTATCTTCTCGGAAAAAATCCAAGTCTAGTAACTATTAAGATATAGACAAAATAGAATATAAACTAAATTATAGTTTTGATTTCCTATAATATCAAATTTGCAATTTTAGTTTCTTTATTTTTATTTTTACAATTTTAAACTTTTAGTTCTATAAAATTTGCAAATTTCAATCTCTCGTTAATTGGTTATTTATTAATCATTAAAATTATAATTTTAGTCATATATGAGATTTAAATAATGATATAATAATATTTAATAATATTTAAACTATATTTCATTTTAAATACTCAATTTAAAAAAAAAAACTAATTTTATTGGATTAACTATAAAGTTTGTTCTAAACCTACTTTCTACTGCATCTTAATCGAAAAATTGAGTTCTGCAAAATAAAATAAAATAAACTCATGTTTTTAATTACCTTCAATAAGATTGGCCCCAACCAACATGGTCATTATTGGAACGCACGCATCCCTGTAAAGCAATAAAAGAAAAAGTACTATTAAATAAGGTATATTTATTTTCTTTTTAGAAAAATTATGAATGAGCACCACCATGCTCGATAAAACCTAGACGAGAGAGAAAAACGTAGATACGTAAGAAAATTAAGAATAATAATAATAATTAAATATTAATGGAGCATTTGTAATATTGATATGTTATACATAAAGACAAAACTTAACTTAGTATCACAAATATTATTAATATTGTTCTTTAATCAGAATTGCATATATTTTAGATAAAATGATTAAAAAACAACGATACTTATAAACTGTACTTAATAAGTTTTATTATATATAATTTTTTTAAACTTAATATACCCAAATGTTGATGGTAGAAGTATGAGGAAGCTTACCCTATCATAATTAGAGAGTCTTGAAGAACATGTAGTAGAGCACTTCCACCTACTAATAAATTTCGAAACTGAGGGACTATGCCAATTATCAAACCAACAATCTGTGTAAACAGATGGAAAAAGATGATAACATAATTAATTGCTCAAATGAACGGTATATAAAGTATCTTTGATAAATATTTTTAATTGAAAAATATTATTTCTTATCATACTTTCTTGTTGCCACCATAATAAATAGTAGCACATTCTAGTCCAACATTTAGAAGCCAAGATCACAATGCTTCTAAACTTCAGAGCTAACAATAAATTTAATTGTTAGCCTTCTATATGCTTGAGAATCATCATACAATAACAACTTTGTAAGTGTTGTAGTATATGATTGTTTGAATAGATTATAAGTATACTCTACCATTCATGTTTAAGGTGAGCAGGTTTATTATAGGTGACAAAATTCTCCCTTTGAATATTTAATACAGTTGTATATTCCTAACTTAGACTTAAGATCACTTAATAAACTGAAATCTCGTACTAATATTTTTATTCATCAAAATTACAATAATAACTTAATTCAAACTTAAGACTTTATTCATATTATCTCACATCCACCACTATGTTGATCTTAGAGTTTCAAACCTCGTACTAGCAATATTCATCAAAATAGGTTCATACATGTGTTGGATGGTTGTGGAAAATGAATTTGAGTCAATGTTTGATCAATATGTTGATTTTAGCGTTGCAAATTAATGAGGACTTGCCTCTAGGTTGAAAACTATAACCTTTTTGGGCAATTGCTTCTTGTACCCGTCCTTTTTAAGTCATGCACCCATCTTTTTTTTATTAACTTTCCATAATTACCCTTCGAGTAATTTGTGGATCATCCATTCCAAAAATTACATTCTGGAATACCCAATTCAGAACCATTTAATTTCAGAACACCCATTCTAGAATTTTGTATTTCTGAAACACAATCCGGAACACCACATTCTAAAAAAAATACTTATCTGAAACATCAATCTGAAATCGTGCTTTTTCGGAACACCTATTCCGAATTAACATTGTTTTGGATTGGTTATTTCGGATAAGCAATGATCCATATTGGATTCTAGAACAATTAAAACTTTACACTTCACTCGTATTCATTGTCCAAAACAATCGATTTGGAATATAAAATTTGTTCTGAATTATATAATCCAGGCTTGTAAAATCAGGTGTACATCTAACAGTTTGGAACACCTATTTTGGAAGAATAAAAAGACATCTAAAATATGTTTTTTTCAGAGAGATAAAAAAAAATATCTAAATTAAGTGTTTCAAAATTAATGTGTCGTTAAAATATGGGTATTTTAGGAAATTTATTTAAATGACGGGTGTATGGGGCAGAACAACATGTGCAAGAAGAAATTTCTGCGTTTTTGTAGAGGCCCAACTCCTCTATTAAAGCCCATTGGTAAATGAAACAATTTGATTTGAGTCTAGCCTTATTTGAGGCTTTTCAACACAAAATATTGTTCAAAAACCAATATATGAATGTCATGGTGATTTGTTTATTGTAACTTCTATATCTCATTATTCTATGCTTTATTCCTCCACTCGTGGTTGAATAATTAATGAAAAAATAACAAGTTTAGAGAGTAAAATGAGAGAATTTTTCACATACCGCTCCAATCAATGTAGGTGGAAATAGTAACTTCAAGTTGCTCCTTTTTCTTAACATTTGTAGGTACTTCGTTAACTTTATCTTTAGGTATTTCAATAACGTTTCCTTCTGTACGTAAAACATTAAAAAAAAGTAAGATCAATCATTTTGCAAGTAATGCAAAACACACCATTCATTAATGTTTATTCCATTCAATAGTCTAAACTGTATAGCTAATACATTTTTAAGGCTTAATTATATTTCATTTTACCTACTATCTAAATTCAAATTTGGCCCTCACTACAATAACAATATGTGATTTTTAGCAACATTAAAAAAATATTGCTAAATAATGAATAAATGTTACTAACATATTTTTGTGACATTTTTATCAAATACAAGATAAAGTCTATATTGTTAAAGATCTAACAATATTTTACATATTAATAAAAATATTTTTTAAAATATTATCAAAGTGATATTTTACAATATTTTAATAACTGCTAATTTTTTGTAAACTTAATAAAATCATGAATATTTTTCAAACATTTTTTCAAATGTTACAATTAGAGATTGGATTTAATTTTAGAAAATAATTAGAAATAATAATATTGAGATAAAAAATATTAATTTATAATAAATATAAGGAGACAAATATTGTTAAAGATGTTAAATATAGTAGTAGATATTATTTGTTGCGAATTTGATTGCTATACTATATTTTAATTGTACAATTTTTTTTATATGTTAACTTTACATTTAATATTTTATCAAATAAACTAAAATTACATAACTGAAATAGTGAGAGATTGAATATTCGCACACACAAAATGAAGGGCTCACAAATTCACATTTTATTGTTAATAGAGGGACCAAAAGTACAATTAATTCATTTCTTATAAATCAAAGGAAAAAAAAACTAAAAATAGGTATGTTGTGTGAAGCTCATTACAAGAAATATTACATATAGTGACATATAAAAAGTGTTATTATAGGTACAATATATGTAGGTATATATCTATTTGACATATAGTTACACACAATTTTAATGTTGATTTTGAATGAGATTTAACAACATATTTTGTATGTCATTATAGTCTATACCCACACTTTTAATAATATACCAACATATATTGTAGTTATTGTGTGGATAAAAATAATTTTTAGTAATATGTATAATGTCATTATAGAGTGTATGTCACTATATGACAATTTTCTTGTAGTGGCTAGACAATAATGGTAGAGTCTAAAGACTAGTAAGGGTGAAAAATTCAAGCAAAAAATAATGTAATCACTAATTATCATTATTTGATTAAGAACTCGCACTAATGCAACTATAAATGCAACTATATACCTCTTAAATTAAAAGCCAAACAAAGCTAACTATATACCTCTCCTTGTCCATTTGGCACTGTAGTTTCAATTTCAAGTTGATTCACCGAATTGTTAGTGAGTGATCTATCTTCAGTTGTAACAATTGTTCGTGTGGAACATTTTGAAAAACTTTCTGGATCAGTTTCTGTTGTAGATGTTGGATTTACTGTGAATTCATCATCAACTTTGATAGCAGTAGAACTTTCTTGAGTTGAATATATGCGCACAATGTTGAATGCATAAGACCACACCAAAATGGATCCAAACTGAAAAGGCACAAATATGATGAAAAAATTAAGAGTATTTCATAAAGGAGAAAATTTAAACACAATTTTTTAAGTACAAATCTCATAATTAATATACATTTTTATGTATATTATCAAAGTAAAATTTCTGATTAGAAAATACCATCAACCGTACATAATAATTAACTGAATAAACATAACACTTTTTTTTTTTGTAATCAAGTAAAATTCATGTAAGTCTTACAAAATGACAATAATAAATATAATAATATTGAAATCACTTGTTTGAAAAGTCTCACACGAATTTCACCAAATAATAAACAACATATTGAAGAGTTTTTCTTTTTTAATTAATTTCCAAATGTTCTAAGTTAGTATCATACTGCCAAGGACAAGGAAGCATATGCCAGTCCGTTTCTGTAACAAACATCCACATCTCCAAATGGACTGCTTCTTTCCTTACACATAGCTGGAATTATGATAAGAGGCAAATTTCCCAGATTTCCTGTACACATCAAATTACCCCATGTATCATAATAATTTTTATAAAATATAACAATATTAATTATATTTCTTAAATACAGTACTAAAATTTTAAACATCAAATAATATGAAGAATAGCGAATACTCTTTGAGGACACTAAAAAAAACTCTTTTTAGACTTAAATATAAAAAAATATCATAAATAGTACCTTAAATATAAACAAATAATAACTAGTTTTACCCTGTTTAATGTTGAATACCGGTGATCTAAAAAATACCTTGAGATTTTAATTCTAATGACTCTTTTTTATTATTACTTTTATTTGGTATACATTAATTATTTTTATTATTCTAATTCTAAATTCACTTTTTATTATTAATACCAATCCAATGTAGAGTTGATTAAGAAAAATATATTTTTAATTGAGATCGATTAACTAAATTAATTGATCATAACTAACTTTCTTATTTAGCATACAAGTTAATTGAGGATGGAAATTAAAAAAATATATATATTTAAGTTTTCATTAGAGTCCAAAACATAATGGAAATAATGTTTTCATTAGAATCCAAAACATTTAAGTTTTCATGTTACTTATGGAAATAATGGTATATAGGTTTTAATTATTTCATTTTTATCATTAATATTTTAAATGTTTTATTATTGTTGGCATATTAATTACTTTTTTTGTTATTGGTATTAAAAGTTTTTCTTAAATATTTGTTAATAGATTGATTTCATATGTTATATAAAAAGTGACAGAGTAGATCTTAGAGTAGTGTGAGTTACACATCTTTACTTATTCTACTTTGTGTTCTTTGGGATATTGTTCATAAAGCTCTAACATGTTTTAGCCTTGAGTACCCGGTTCAAACAAAATGTTTTGTAAATCTTAGAGAACAAACCAAATCTTGGGTTGTAACAGAGGTTCACCATGATTTTCTTTTAAGGTGGTGGCTAGTGCAACGACATAGTATTATTTTTTATTTATTTTCTACTAATATTTTATAACAATCTAAAAGAAAACTATTTCTCTTTTAATTATGTTGTTCTAATGAATTTGTCGCTTAATATATTCTATCTTGTCTGGTGTGCAAAAACTCAAATGATGGAATCAACTACAAGTGATGATATCAAAGGATAAGCAAAGAGATCGTGGAAATTGTAGCCAAGACACTATGAAAAATATTGCAAATTGCTTTAGCAACAATTCATAATTTGGTTTTACGTCAAATGGATGTAAAACTACTTTTCTAACTGGAGATATAAAAGATGAAATATACATAAGCATTCAGAAGGTTTCATTGTACTGAGACAAGAGCATAAGGTAAGCTTAAAATTTTTTTGTATTGTTTAAAATAGGTACCTAAACAATAGTATGAAGTTTATAGTAAATACTTTAGACTCTTGTGTGTGTATAAAAATCATAGATTCTAATTGTGTTATTATATGTTGATGATATCTTGATTCTTGGAATTTCTTTAAAAGTGGCTATTGAAATTAAAGAATTCTTATGTTGTAAATTGAAATGAAGGACTACGAAAAGATGATGTAATTTTGGGTATTAAAATTCAAAAAACTAAAAATGGTTTCTCCTTAAATCAAACTAATTATGTTGATAAATTATTACGGAAACTTCAATAGTTTTAATGTTGTATGTGATAGAAAACCATATGATGTTAGTATTTAACTTAAGAAAAATGATGGAACTAATGTTTCTTAATCTAAGTATGCAAAAATAATTGGTTGTATTATGTATTTCATGTATTACACTATAATTGACATTGCAGATGTTATAAGTAGATTGAGTATATATATTCATAATCCTAATGGTGATTATTGGAATGTCCTTTTGAGTCTTTTAAAGTATCTAATGGTACTATGAATTGGGATTTACATTTTTTTCAATTGTTTTAGAGGGATTTTGTAATGCAAATTGGATTTCAATTAATGGTGAAGTAAGTTCTACTAGTGAGTACAAATTCACTTTAGAAGGTGGTGTTATTTCTTTGAAATCAACATTAACAAACATGTATAGCAAGGTCTATAGTGGAACAAAAATTCTTAACATTTGAACTAACAGGTCAGTAGAATAGTTGAGAGACCTAATGACAAATGTTCTATTATGGGGGACACCTACATCTCTTGTGTCTCTTCATTGTGATTCATAAGTTCAATCGATGTGGTTATAATAATGGTGAGAGAAGGCACATTATGAGACATGATGCTATAAAATTTTTAATCAAAAATTGACAGAACTTGTGGCGGTCGTGCTTGCAATTGAACACACATTTGCGAGGGGTTGACACAGTGTTTGGTTTGAGTGTGATTCCATATTGGTTTTATATGTTTTTTCTAATATTAATATAGTTCCTTGGTCACTTCTTAGTAGATGGAAGCATTGTATAAAACTCTGTTCTTCAATGTCCTTTAGGAGCTCGCATATTTTTCGTGAAGGCAATCAATGTCCAAATGCGTTAGTTAGATATGGTTTAGCAAATAGAGATGATTTTGTTTAGTGGAATATTTTGCCTACTCTTATCAATATCCAAATGTGATTTACCTTCCTTCAGGTTTTGCTAATTTTTCATAGGTTTTGGTATAGTCTCTCATGCTCTTGTTTTGAATTTTATATTTATGTTATTTTTTCAAGTGAGAGGTGCTAGATTAGTAGGTCTTGAGATGTCAACTTAGTTGGAATTTCTCTACCCTATTATGATGCCCTGATCACCTAAACTTTATTTAAAAAATAATAATTTTAGGAGAAGAAAAAAATGAAGTTAATTTCTTAAAAAACTAAAATTATAACTTATGTATAAACTAATTTCTAAAAATTTTCTTATATTAACTTTTATAAAATATATTTTTTAACTTATAATTAAGATAATTTAAACTTTGAAGAAACTTATTTTATTTTTTTCCTTTTTATTTTCTTTTCCTAGAAAGTATTAGAAGATTATTCAAATTAACTCTTAAACAACAATGATAGTAAACAACCCTTCGTACCTACAGCACAACACCCCATCACAAGGCCTCGAAGATGATAGGGAACTCTAGCTATTTTAACAAGTAACCATCCTAGAGCTGTCCCAATAACAACTGTCAGAAAAATACTCACCGGCATGAACCACCTGCATAAATTTATCAAACTATCTTTATTAAAGCAACTAATTAATTAAATGCATAAATTTTTAATCAAACTATCTTTATCAAACCAACTAGTTAAATAAAGAAATTTTTAATGTTGAAGATCAATGTCAAAATACAAAAACAAACTTACAACTTAATCATACTCCTTAAAGTAATGGTTCTAGCCAAGCTACTACAAACAAGAGCAGGAGAAAAGACAAAATATACCATCTGCATATGAAGAAATTCAAATATCAGATTCATATAAAAAATTGTATTACTAAACATATATCAAGTATTTTTTCACTTCCAATTTTGAGAAAATATTAGTCCAGCCATTAGGGAAACATTTGGCTTTAAGCTAGAAAATGAAAATAAGAATGAGTGTGTTTGAAAATCTTTCAGCTGTTTTTTTTATTATTTAAATTCAGTTGTTTTTTTTTATTTAAATATTGTGTGATTGAGATAATAGTTTAAATTTGTAAATAAATATTTTTTAAAAATTAAGTTATTTTTATGATGCTGAAATTTTAAAATTTAAAATTATTTATTAACAATTTTTTTCTTGTAGTTCATTTACTACATAAAAATTATTTTTTTGTTATATTTAAACAAAATTAAATATTTCAAAATCATTTTTGCAATAAAATTACTCTAACAAAATTTAATTCTCATTATAATAAATTATAAAAATAATTTAATTTTCATAATTTTCTCAAATATTGTTATATATTAATACATGTGCCCTATACTAGAAGGGAATAGGCTGCCACGTGTCACACCACACGATATGCCACGTGTCACGCAATGACCTATTTAACCACCTCAACTCAAGATCTCTCAGCCATGACCATCTCAACCCTATCAGCCATATTGATTGTCGAGACATCTGAATACACATGACTCATGAATATACGCGAGTCAATCATCTCAACCATATTGGGAGCCGATACAGATGAATCTAAAGTGCACAATTTAAGTCTTCTGAGATAAGTCAGGCTCGATCGCCTCCGACGTCTAGGCCATCGAGACACGATCCTCACTCAAGAAGGTGGCCCTCACCCTCTTGGTTAGGCTGAAAGCCAAAGAGGCCAAGGTACTAACACTATTGAACCTTGTTATACAATTAACGAGGATAGCACGAGGTTAAGGAATAATCCATCATTAACCATCGTATTACCTAATTGGAAATCAAGAAACGAGACCTACCATGTCCAAGCCCATTATGGTCAGTATAGTCACATAAAATGAGGTATGGTTACTATTTATTTATTGTCATTATCGATATTTGTGTTTGTCCTGACTTGAGCGTTGGAGTGCCTTTTGCAGGTACCTCTCCCCTTACTTCTTGACTCGGAGCTCTCATTCGACCTCAAGATCCTAGATCACCATGTGAAGATTACTAGTGTACCCTCAGACAAGTACATTTTGGCACCCACCATGGGATCAAAGCAAAAGCTCTAAAACAACAAGCTAGTGTTATAGTAACCACTAGGAAGAACACTACAGTTGAAGATCCCCGATTCAAGGAAAACCATGTCGAGGTGGTTAATGAAATGAACCTCTTAGAGGTCATTTGCCATTTGAGGGAGGAAATGGCCGCCATGCGACTACAAAGAGAGAAGGAAGCGAGGGAATCGGTAGCCTAAAAAGAAGAAACCACCACACTAAAAAGCCAAGACCCTTCTTGGAGACTATCCCAACCGACATGCACACAAACATAGGGGGTTTTTCCACTCACATAGATATCATATGTCTACCCCTCATGCCTCGGCTACCATACCCAAAAATGTTCTCTCAGTAACCCTAGTTATCGGTCGATCCATCCACAACGTCCCAATAAGCGCACATCGCCATCCATTTACTTCGTCCATCATGCAAGCTCTACTTCTAGACCATTGGAAGTCTCTTCCATCATACAAATACGACGACACCTCAAATCTCGATGAACATGTCAACGTGTTTCTCACACAAGTGACACTTAGCACCAATGATGACACTACCCTGTGTTGAATCTTTCACACATCATTGAAGGGAAGAGCATTGAGCTAGTTCACCCGCCTACCACCTAATTCATCAACTCCTTCCATACATTGGCATCCTAATTCACCATACAATTCACAACTAGCCGGCCTCATCAATTGACTTCTTTGGCACTAGTCAGCATTCGATAGGACAAGAAGGAATTACTTTGGGCCTTTGTGGACCAATTTAACAGGGCCACTTTGGAAATCAAAGACCTTAATCCAGTTGTAGCCCTTCATCACCTCACCACTACCCTGAAGCTAGGACCCTTCGTCAATATTATCTGTAAGAAGCCACCTATCAAAATGGATGACCATCGCCACTGAGCAAATAAATACATGCAAATGAAAGAGTTGGCCGACTTCCGTAACCAGGAATAAGCCAAGGCTACCATAAAAGTTGACAAACCTATGGAGAGTTCATTCTAAAGCCGAGGCAAGGAGTTAGTTCCTCGTGAGAGACATGTGCGAGGCCCAAAATATTCACAATATACACCTCCCAACACTACTCAAGCAACAATACTTGACCAGGCCCTGGCATCAAAAGTCTTGGTAGTGCCTAAGCGAGCCTCCACCCCTCCTCGTGTCGACCCCACCAAGTCTTGTCGATAACATCATAAAAGGGGACACTCCACCGAAGAATGCACAACCCTCAGGGATAAAATTGAAGACTTGATCTCATCCCAACACAATGACAGGCCTCGACATAACTAGTGTGAGCAACGACGAACGGATAGACAAGCCCGTAGGGAACGTAGTTGATCTCAAGAAAAAAGAGAAAAAGAACCTCGGACACATCCCAGACGATTCATTAACACCATTGCAAGGGGATTCGCGGGTGGAGGTTCGACCTCCTCGACCCAAAAAAGACACCTCAGAGCAGTCCGAGTAGTACATGTGGTAGAACACCGAGCAATAAGAAAATTGTTGGCCTTTACTTTCATGGGTGTGGACTTCTAAGGGATTGATCCTGTCCAAGATGACCCTATGATGATCAATGTGGAGATACCCAATTGCATTGTCATGAAAACACTAGTTGGCCAAAAAAGCTCGACCGACATACTGTACTAGAATACCTTCAAACAGTTAGGGATTCCCGAAAAGGATCTTGTTCTCTACAACGAGCCCTTGGTTGACTTTTCAAGAGAAAAGGATCAATACCAAAGGGTACATCAAGCTTTTCACTCGATTATGCTTTGATGACAAGGATTACCGAGACGTCCAAGTGAAGTACGTGGTGGTACATAACAATACATCCTACAACATACTTCTAGGCTAACCATCGTTGAACGCTCTAGGGGCGATAGCCTCTATGTCACACTTGGCAATGAATTTTCCATCAAAAATAGGAAGGATCCTCACTATACATGTCAATTAGAAGGTAGCTAGGGAGTGTTACTTTGCAAGTCTAAGGATGACCCAGTTAGTGGAAGACGAGTAGAAAAGAGTCAATGTCGTTATCCCTTTAGTATCAGCCTCCTTGGCCTTAGACCTGGACCCTAGAATGGATCACAACGAACGGGTGGAACATACCAAGGACAAAATATCTTTATGTGTTGGTGCATAAAAGTCACAGGTTACTTACGTTGGAGTCAAATAAGATAATGTTGAACAATGTAATCATCCAAAACAAAGATCTCTTCGCATGGGTTCCCTCAGATATGTCGGGCATAAACCCCGATTTTTTGTGCCACAAACACTCTATGCGCCGAGATGTTAAGTCAGGCAAAGCAATTTCTAGCAAGGTTTTGAATGAGACAAATATAATACATGTTGTTATTTCTAACAAGTGTGTTAGTGTTTCAGAAAAACATAAGTACAGGCAAGATGAAGAATAGAGCATGTGCCACTTCCTACACCAGAACCAAGATAAAGGGTAAAAGCGTCAAGCATCAGATGGAAAGGTCAAACGAAGCCAAGCCTAGCACAAGAAGGAAAATGATCAAGCTTCAGACGATACAGACCATAGGCGAAACTTCTTCAAGTACAAGACAAAGATTAGTCAAAGAAAAGCACCTCATGAGGATCATACAAAGCAAGTCAAATGATAGATATAGTAAGACATAAGCGCTAGACAATGATAAATCAAATATCATATGAAGGTGTGTCAAGGATAACCTAGAGCACAACATAAGAACTCAGACGAAGGTTGGTTAAAGATCAGAAGAAAGACAACTAAATATCATACGAAGGACAGCACTAACTGAAAAGTATTCCAAACAGAAACAAAGTCTGTCCATCTACGATGTTGACAAGTGCTCAGACGAAGATCAAGACTTGAGATGCACATGGACTAATAGACGCAGACGAAGACTGCCATGAAAGCATTTGAAGAATCAAGTCTCAAGGGACAACTCAGGCATCGCCTACAATCATACAAAAGCTCTCAATATGATCGCTCTTTGAAATGAAGAAAAGAAAAAGAAGAAATACAAGCGCAAAAGTAAAAGCGTGCATGTGTCAGAAAAGTACATCACTTTTTCAAATAAAGACAATGCCTCTACAGCTATGCCACCGGAAAAGGACAAAAAGTTCCTAGGTCTCAGCTAAAGTCAGACATTGCTACTAACAAAACGAAGAAGACTTCACGTAATGTCTATAAACAAGAAGCAACATTTAATGCAAGATCTTGTGCATTAAATGAAATATCAAACTAGTCATGAACAACTACATCCTACTTCAATGGACACTTGCAACGGGCAAATTTTACAAGACTATATATATGTCATGACTTCAAACCTGGAAAGGTTGGTGAAGAGAGTAATTTCAAGCCCAAGAAGCAATGGAACCAGAGACAGAGCTTATAGTGTCAAATGTACAACATAGTATTTATCTGTAGACTAAGGAGTTTTAAGTGTAACTTAAGAACATACACCTTAGTGAGTGTAGCAAACTTTTTTATCCTCTTTGTGAGAGTAAACCAAACACTCAAACCAAATCATCTATCTATCATTTGTAAAGCCTGAAGAGGCTAGGGAAAAAATACTTGTAAAAGCCTGGAGAGGCTTGTCAAAGAATCCTCACTACGAGCCTGAAGAGGCTAAACAAAAAATACTAGCGCTAATGAGTGAAGTTAGCGGGCCAAGAGTGGTCGACAATCCCCACTCAGAGCCTAAAGAGGCTGAACAAAGAATACTAAAGTTAATGAGTGAAGTTAGCCAACCAAGAGTGGTTGAGAATACTCGGGACCAGGAGTGGTCGAGAATA